AGTTCACGGGTAATGTAACCCTGAGCGTGTTTAACGCTGAAAAATAGCTCTGATAAACTCCTTGCGTTGTACAACCCGTTACTGTTGTCGTGCAGCCTTGAATTTGATTCCCGCAGGCTAAGTGAAGCGGACCAAGACTCACAGTGGTCTCCAAAGGCCTTTGTGGTGAAGACCTCCCGCAGGGTGACCGAATTGGAGTGCTGAATCTTCTTCCACATGTCCACCAGCATCATACACTTGGTGTTCACGAGGCGGAAGCCTGAACGATCACAAACACAAAATGGAGTATTCCAAGCGATTGCGCCTTTGAGTCACCACGTAATTCGATCAAAATTAAGATTGCCGATTATGCGCCAAAGTAACACGGGCGAAGCTTTGTCCGTTTGAGGACACCAAACGCACGCTATAGGATAGCATTTGTGACTTTTGAGTGTGTAGGGTTTGAAGAGGCGGGGTCCTGATCCGGTGAGTGACGTGGGTGTCGGATCATAGAGTTGGCTACATACACATAATTATTGACACATTATTAACTCAATAATAAAAGAGAGGATTTGGAGAAAAGCAACCTTGACTTCCTTCGACTCCCTTCAGCATTACGACATGCGCTTGTAACATGAACAGCCCTCCAAAACATTCCCTCGCAGTACCTCCAAAACCTCGCGCACGTGCGCTGTACGACAAAAAAAACATACCAGGATGGCGGCGTTTTTAGGGCGTGTAGCTACCGTGTATCCTCCTCAGGCAGTAGGGCAGGTCGTCCTTGCTGTTGACCGCCTTGTAGCAGGACGTGATGTAGCTGAAGTTGCTGGTCTTTTGCATGCGGTTGGGCGGGGGCAGGGCCTCCAGGGGGAACAGGCTGTGGTAGCTGTCCACCTCGGACGGCACGTCTGCACAACACAGGAAGCCATTTTTGACGCCGTGCGCCACGGGGGAAAAGATTTGGACGCTTCGGGAATTCTACCTGCGTTTTCCGAATGGTCGATCTGCGCCATGGTTATCAGGTGTCGGTTGATTAATTCCTGGAGGGTGTCGGAAGATGTTAACCGGCGGGTCACGAGCGCCATTTGCAATGAGAAGAGGCGACGGGGGAGATACCTGTCGGAGTTCATCTGCCATGAAGAAGGACGGTGCGTTGGCTTTGGGCTGCATGTAGGCCACGTGGGGTGCCGTGGGGGGGTAAATGTGGTACGTAGGAAACACCTGCGGTGAAACCAGAAACACTGAGCTTCCCATTTTCTTGAAAAATGAAAACTGGATAGTCATTTTCTGACTGAAAGCCAGCGGCTGTACACAGAAAAGTCACAAAGAGACCTTGCAGATGAAAAACATTTGTCTTCCAAAGTATACGTGCACGTACCATGCCGGCCATCGGCGCAGGGGTATTGTCCGTGTAGAAGTACGTGGTCCCCCCGACAGTCTCTTTCTGGATGATGTGAGCGCCCGGGTCCGCCGCCGTGGTGGGCACCATGTAGTTGACCGGGTTCGGGGTGTGGCTGCGGCGGCGCGGAGCGGGTGAGGTATGCGGCGTAATTTTCGGTGAGTGAAGGGGAGATGAGCCCGCCGATAAAGACATGCCTGACATCAGATAATTCAAGCAAGTTTGGAGCAATTCAGAAAAATAAAAATAAAAAAACTGTGTAGTTTTAAATAAATCAATAAATAAAAGGAGACGCCACCTGGAGCTAAAGCGGCAGTTGTGGAGCTGTTAAGACCCGGGTGGGCAAAAAGAGGCGAGGGGAAGGCCTGAACAGAAGACGGCGCCATGGTGGCTATTCGTGGAGCTCCCTTAGGGATGAACTCACTTGCTGTCGGATTGGGCGCCTGAAGGAAAAAGAAGTCGTTACACACATAATCCACCTCAGACCTGGCCCCGCCCCCTAAGAATCTGCAATAGCGAGTGTCATGACATCAGAATGTTGACTACAAAAAAAAAAAAAAAAAAAAAAAAATGTGCATGTTGATGCCTTACAAACAAATCCCACACTCAGGACACCTTTTATTTGTTTTGTTTTTTCTGCTCACCTTTCTCCGTTGAGAAATGCCAAGAGCACCAAAATCGCTGAACAGCGACGACGTCGGGGAGTTGACTGGATCTACATAGAGAATTTTTTTGGTTTTTTTTAAAGCAATTTTAATGGGAATCAAGGCAACACTGGTCTTACCATGAGTGCTGTGGCTAAAATTCTTGGCACCATCATTGAGCAGACTGGGAGAGCTGCTGCTGGTAGTGATTCGCTACGAAGAGATGGAGGGATTCAAAACACAAGGGAGCAAGCTACTGTATGTACATTTGTATCGGATTTTATATTCATTCAAGTAAAGACTCTTGTAGATGCAAAACCCTGACTAATATAAAAAGCCATACAACTTGGGGTTCACATTTCTTTAGTCATATGTGATGTCAGCTCTGTGACTATGTGAACAGTCACCTCCACATATGTTTGGCTTTTTCTTCAGCTTTTTTTTTTTTTTACATGATCCAACCACAGAGAGATACAAATGAGCGCTGGCTGCTTCTTTGGGTGTTGATAATGTCACGAAAGAATGATGGGGAACAAACCGCAAATGGTTTGACTGTACTAGTTCATGTGGGACAGTACCTGCATCATGGAGTATTTGGACTCTGCGGGACTTCCAAATCCATTCACTCCAATGAAGCTGCTGCTGAAGTAGGAATTGGTGAGGTTGGCGTCGCTCAGACTCGCTCCCTCCATCCCTGGAACTGCAAAGGACAGATAAAGCGAGTAATTCAATGTTGAACAAGGATGGTGTCAAGTGGAGGAAGTCGTTTAGGAAGTTTGAACGTTCCCGACTGTGTGTAACCGATTCCAGCGCTCATTAGAAAAAATGTAAACAGTTCCACAAGTGCAAGCAACGACCATGCCAATTCCGACGCACCACCAGCGGCCTCATTATTAAGACATTTGGCCATTAGCTTTGTTCCGTGAGAATAACTTTACACTCCTTCTGGTTTGTTTGCCCTCAAGAAATGACGGCAAACAAAACAAAACACTACCTCGTGGACCGCTACGTTAGCTCTTAGCTAGGTTAGCAACACGGCTATATTTCGCGAACATGTAAACACACGGACGAGATTATGATTAACCGCCACACGAGTTAACATGAGTTTGGATTAGTGATTAATAACGTAAAATATGGCGGGCTTACTTTTTTCTGTAAATGGCTACTAAGATGCTACAGGGGGCTAACGTTAAGTGCTTTCTGTCCACTCGCAGCTGTCAAATTACCAGGCCTCATTCGCGAGTGGGGGAACAAGCTGTTAAAGCTTCATTTTCACAACAACATCATCAACAACAAGTCGCGCCAGTGTTAAAAGGCGCCCAATGAACTCCACGGCACAGAGTAGACGATATGCCGAATTACATACGACGGGGAAATTCCCTGAAATTCGTTTGGGGGACCAGGAGGCCTCAAATGAATCCCCGGGCTAAATTTTCAGTCAAGCCCCACCAGGCTCCTCTTAAAGTCCGATGCTACCCCAAGTGAGGTCCCGGCTATGACGTAAAAGCGTTACTCACTGGCTAGCAACGACCCGTCCAGAGAGCTCTGCGCAAGCCCCATGGCTTCACTCTTCTTGGGCACGCCGGTTCCTCCTCCGCCGCCGGGGCAGGAGGCCCCGGAACCTCCGAGGGAATATCCCGCTGCAGTCCCGCCACCACCGGGTAGAGACAACGGGACGGGGCTCAGGCTAGCCATGGACGGATCCTCGTGCAGGAACTGGCACTCGTCTCCATAGAAGCACGTTTTGTCTTTCGCGTAGTAACGGCAAAACTTCACTTTGACATTGGGTAACCCGGCACCCCCGAGCGGAGCAGCTGAGGCTGGGAGTCCGCTGTTCATGGCACCGCCGCCGCCGCTTCTGCTGCCGGAAGACACTCAAACATAGAGAGCCGCACAGAGCTAGCGAGCTAGCCCAGCTCGGCTAGCCTGCAAACGATCCCCCCTTTTTTGCTCCTAAAATTCACCTCCTCTGTGGCGTCGGGACCACTTAAAAAATGCGCTGCGGTACTCACGTCATCACACTGGGGTGCATGTTTGGCTTCCGGATTTAGATCACCGCACGCACGGAACAGTGATCGCGAGGGTCGCCATCCATGCAGACGCTTTCCTTTGCTAATTAAAAAAAAAAAAAAAAGAAAAAGTGCAGCCTGTTGTTGTTTTTGCTCACTGCCAGGTTTGCCTGCGGTGCACTGCCCGGGACCCACTTTGCATTGTGGGTAATCGCCTTTCCTCTGCCTCTGTACGGGACATGCTTCATGTGTAAGATGCACAGTGATGCTGCTGTACTGGGTGTCCGTAAAAATCTCGTCAGAATTTAAAACATTTTACAAAAGCGAATGAAAAGCCAAATGAGTAAAAGTTTTCACCAAGAAAAAAAAAAGAGATTTTCCATTGAACACTATCCGTCAAACTCCCATACGATTTTCTGGTAAATTAACTGCAAGCAGACGTACACATGCAAACAGCAAAATATGTTAGCTTGCTGACAGGCGGGGGAGAAACAAAGATATGGTTGACATTTTTGGCCGAGGTCATCACATGGGTTGACATTGACGAGCGACATGATTCAGTGAAGCAAGCCGAGTATGCTGTTTCACAAATGAATGACTGAAAGGTGTTTATTTCAACTAATAGTTCACTCTGACAGAGTGGATGTATTTGTGATGACAATTATTGTTTTGTCCTTTTTGTAAAGTGTCCTTGGGTGTCTTGAAAGGCGCTTATAAATAAAATGTATTATTATTATTATTATTAATTACAAAACCTCAATATACATATTCATTCCGCAACTAACCAATTCAGCCTCCACGGAAGAAAAACAGGATGCTCTGAAGGATTGGTGTGCGAAATTCAAGAGGAAGTCGGCCATTTTGGTTTAAAGTAACCATTTTGGGCGAATTCCGAGGCTACTTGAAAGTTACAAAAAAATGGGCCTTGTGCTTGAAGCTTTTATTTTGTATTATTTTGTGGGAATTTTACAATTTATTCAAAATAAATATACATTTTTATGATGTTTGGGCAATTTTCCTGTCAAATTAAATGGGGCATCTAAAAGGGTCATCTGAACAAAGCCAGCGATTCAAATATGTATTTGTATTATGGGCTGTAATAGCAATGGTGACAATAAGAATTAAATGCGGTAGAAAAAAAAAACACGAGTCATAGTAGTTTTAGGAACTAAAGTGGTTTTCAGAATAGGAAGTAGACTTTCTATTTATCAGGTAGCCAGGCGGGCTTCCCTTTCTTAAGAAAAAAAAAATCGTAAACTCAACCTGAGAAGTTTCATTGTGACAAACAGAGAGAGACGAAAAGATGTTCACACACACACTAATGATTGCGGGTGAGTATGACGTTTTGTTTTGTTTTTTTATTTTTGGGGATAGTGGGGTAAATGCATATTTTAGGTATTTGTGCCTTAAAATTATTTTTTAGCTTACTATTCCATAGAGAGCTGGGACCAAGAATACTATTCAAAATTTACCTTAGCCATAAATGTCATTTAAAATATGTGGATTATGAATTTGACTATCATTATTTTTATTTTTTTTTAATGACTACCTTTCAAGGTGTTCTGCTGCTGTGCGCTGTCAGCGTGCATTGCTGCGAAGGCATCTTACCCGAAGAGAAATGCACACCGAGTCAGGCGGTAAATGCTCCAAGTGTATTTTGTGTACAGTATTTGGTATCGAAAGTGGTCAACACTCCAGATGACGTATTTCCAGATCGAGTGTTTCTACCCGGCGCACCACCTGAATGCCTCCGCTCCGGTCTCTTTGGAGGTGGGTGTGGGTAAGAGACTGGTCATCTCCTTGGAGGGCTTCCACACATGCAGCCCGTGCAGCTTCAGGAGAAATTTGCATCACCTATTACCATTGTAAGCGTGTACAGCATTTTGTTATTTTGTGTTTCATTCTTGTACATGTGGGCAAACGTGTGTGCTCAAGGGGCATATTTAAAAAAAATAATAATAATACAAACAGACAAATGGGGCAGGTAATTTATCTATTAAAGTGTGTAAAAATACGGCATGTTAGGAATGATTCACTAGTTCTCATTTTGTAATTGTATTATATTTGATCTATTTATAATTTCTGTAGAGTATCTCAAATCAACTTTGACTTTGCCATTGAAATAAATGGAAACGCCATTAATCCATTCCAGCGTCCTAACGACCCCGTGGAACAGAATGGATTCAATTACAGTGGTACCTCAATTTACTAAATTAATTGGTTCTGGAAGAAATTTCCTAACTAGAAAATTTTGTCAGTAAAAACGCGTTTTCCATGTAAATGCCCTCATCCGTTCCAAGCCCCCTCAAAATTCAGACATAAATGTTTTCTAAAGCATAAAAATGCATCAAAATATGGAACAAATACATGTTACATTTCGATTAGGGCACAATAAATGAGAGTTGTGCATAATGTAAAAAACAAAGAATAGAGGTCATTTAACTTTTAACTGAGTCCTCATCGTTTTGTTGCCCTCTTTAGTTCATGTTCTCTCTCAGAGGAGGTTTTTGCCTGGCGTTTTGTAAAGAACTGACACACAGACAGACACATATGACAGAAGTCCCTCTTAGCCAATGGGATGCCAGGATGCTGCTCGGTAATAGCCAATGGCAGAGCAGCTATGAGTACGTTGCGTTCAGGAAACTCGGAGCTGCGAGTAGCAGGCCAGGCTGTATTTTTACTTTTCGTATCTTGAAATTTCTTTCGCAACAAGAGGCAATATTTTCCTGTTGAGGCGTTTCGTAATGTGAAAATTTCATATGAAGAGACGTTTGTCAGTAGGGGTACCACTGTAAAGCGTTTTTTGCATTGGTGTGTGCACAACTTGGCCACTGGGGGCAGTATGATACAGTTATGCAAAAACAAATGACTTTCGCAATCATTAAGTCACTCAATCAGCTGCAGTTATGGGAGTTGTTTCTCGCAGAGGATAAAGAATATAGGCCTGTGAGTATTGATGCTCTTTTGTTAGCATTGAAGGACAGAGCGCGCCATACGTGTGTTTTGGCTAACAAATATAATTGTGATTATTGTTTTGCATGTTTTTCCATGGAGTTTTTTTTTTCTTTTTGACAGAGAGGCCAATTTCATGACGGTCCTGCCAGTGCTTTCTGAGAATATTTCTGGGGAGTATACCATCAGGTGCACGGCTGAGCGCTCGTTGACTTTTGCTCTACATGTGGTTACGAGTGAGTACCTGTTCCTTTGTGTCTTGTGAATCATTCAAGTGTACCGATGTGACTTTTTTTTTTTTTTCTGGGCTTAACGCCTCACCTTAGAACGGCCCACAAAACCTCGTCTGACGCTGGTCCACGCAAACGATCCAAAGAGTTCCCCCCATTTTAAGTGCGCGTCTGAGGGCTTCCCTCAGCCTATTCTGGAGTGGTCAGGGTAAAATGTCACGCGCATCTTTTCAAACGTCGCGCAAGAGCCCATCTGGTGACGACGATGACTAACTTTTTCTCCGTCAGAATGCAAGACGAAGCAGTCGAAGGTGTGGGAAAAAATGAGAGCACAATCACCAGCGTTGGATTCACAAACAAAGGAGTGATGTGTTGCGCAACTAACAGCCAAGGGTGTGAATGCTCCCAACTGTACGACTATGGTGATTAACGCTTTTCAATGGGCTTACGTTATATTTATGAGAAGGGGAAAAAAAAAAGGAGAAAAAAAAATCTGAAATAAGTTCCATCGTTTTGTGTGATATAAGACATAGAGAGTAACCTGGTGGATAAGGACGAGGTCTCCAGTGTGATTTTGAGTCCCGGGGAGCCTCTCCTGCTTCGCTGCAGGTTCAACCGCTGGGGGCGGCGAAAGGCAGCGTGGGAGAAAGACGGCCGGCAGTTGACACCCGACGAATTTCCGTGCTCTGCAAAAATCAAGGAGGTGCGGCATCATTTGCAAATTCACGCCAACGAAAGGCGGCATCTTGTGATGGCGTCTTGTCCTTCCCAGATGTGCAGCCGATTTGACTCGCATGGGAAAACCTCGATGGTTTACTGGTTCGTTGACTCGGTGGATGCGGGCCACGGCGGCACGTACACCTGCAGGGCTCAAGATGGCGCAACCAAGTCCGTTGACATCAGCGTCCAGGGTCGGTCGTCACGCTTTGGAAACTGTTCCTGGGCGTCTTTTTGAAAAGCCTTCTGTCAAATGAGAGACTAATATTCGTTTGTAACATGCTGGTTGAAATTCCTCAGTTTAGGGAAGTTCTGGCTCAGGCAAATGTACCGTCGCGTTCTTTGCTTTCAACGTCTTCAAATGTGAAAATCAAATTTCACGTGTTTTGACGCAACTTCAAATAAATCGAATGCCCACGCGCATGCCAAAATTGGAATGATGATTCGTCCCACGTTTTCCAAAGTTAAATTGCGACTCATCGCAAACAAGCGCGCATTTTGATATCTGTCCGGAATGTACAACCATAAAATCTGTTTTTCCAAATGTTGATACTCCGGACAAAATCCATGCAATGACTTTGAAGGCTCTTGAATGCCCCGCGGAAAAGCCCGGTTCTTTTATTTTTTTCTTCTCATGCATTCCCTCAGCGGAAGGCTTCCTCAGGGTGCAGCTGGATGCGAGAAAAACTTTGCTGAGTCAAGAGGCAGCTGGCGCGTGTTTGCAAGCCTCCGTGTTTTACCACCCTGTGCTGCAGCGATGCATGTGGGAGACGCCCGATGGCAAGGTGTCCAAATGCGACACGGAGGATTGGGTCACAACGCACAGGTAGGGCTAAAGAGCTAATATAGCGAAAAGGCTACACGATGTCATCCGAGTGGATGAGGAATTTGTAATTCGTTTTACCTTTATGCGGAATTTAGCTTTGGCAAACCTGCAGCTATCCTGAACCCATTTTTAATGATGTCATAAATGTGCGCATTGCCACCGAAATCTACTGGAGAGCATCGACTCATATTTTTTTGTGTTCTGTCAGGGCGGTGAACCTGTGCGGTGGAATCAAATCAGGAGAATACAAACTATACGTTGAGGCGGGTGGAAAAAGCAGAAACGAGTCCGTGTCTGTGTGCGTTGTCGGTAAGAAACTGAAAAGTTGAAAGTACTCACAGCCTGTACTTGAGTCGAAGTCTCGTACGTACGTCAGTTTGGCGTGGATTCTTTTTCCTCTGCGAAGAATGACAAAGTGCAAAGTGGTCAGAAAAAAAAAAAAAAAAAGTATTCAAATACAGACTTGTGAAAAATCTTCAGTACTTCCCACCACTGAGGGAAATACACGAATACCATTTGCCGAACCTGAAGCTGGGCTGTGTGCACCCTTTTTATGATTCAGATGAACCAAAATTCAAATTCGGCATCAGCGAGGACAACAACAGCATCCAAATCCAGACAGCCAGCGGCGTGCCGGCAAATTACACGTGGATGTCTTGTTTTCCTGGCAACGAAAGGTGCGCTTGCACAATTTACCAACACGCTGTCTTTTATCACCACCCGCGAGACATCCTCTGCTTTTTAAAAAAAAAATATTCCAGCTGTGAGGGTCACTCCTTCTGGAAAGAGATCCCCGGAACCTGGCGAGCCGACTCCGACGTAAGCTGCCGAAAGATCATCAAGAGCGCAACCGGGAGAGAGCTGCTGGATGGACACCACTTGAAATTTTGCCTGGCCAACTCAGTTGGCTCCTGGTGCACGCCCCCGCAATTGGTGTACTACCGGTCTTCCCGGGAGGGCTCCAGAGGTTTGATTTTCTTATCATGATGGGTCTGTCTCACAAAGTCAGAGAGTGTGCATGTTGTTGCATGTTACCAAAACCTGATGAAAGCTCCAGCCGCACGATATCAAATCAAAATTGTAAACCGACCGTATGGAGTATCTGGTGTATACACAGAGTTGAAAGTTGGCAGCGCGATCCTGGTTGTGGCTTTGCTCACCGTCAGCGTGGTGCTCGTGTATACGGTCAAGAAGAAGGTGAGGCAGCCGTGCACGCGGGCAAACCTAAGAGGCGGCACACTCATGTCTGAAAAATGTCCAATAGAAACCGCAGTATCAGCCCCAGCTGCAGATGATCCAGATGGTGGGCCCCAATGATAACGATTACATCTACATTAACTTCAAGGACTTTGAGTATGAACAGAAATGGGAGTTTCCCAGGGAGAACTTGCAATTAGGTTCGGATCATTTTTTGTCATACTTTCATTTGATATATGATTGTGCATGCATATATGCATATATATGTGCATATATATATATATACACACACACACCGTATTGGCCCCTATATAAGACGGTGTTTTTTGCATTGAAATAAGACTGGAAAAAGTGGGGGTCATCTTATATTCGGGGTCTTGACGTTATACCCATTCACGACGCTAGATGGCGCCAGATATCATTGAAGCGAATGCTGAACTTGACTCCCCAGGCCAAAGTGAACCCCTGCCACGAAGAATAAAAATAAAAATAGCGGTAGCACGAAGCAGAAAAATAAAAAAATTGCGGTAAGAAAGAAAAGAGAAGAAAATAATAGAAGAGATAACAGAAAATGGAGAAACGTAGCGACAATCTGGAGAAAAGTGGGTCGAAGATCGGCCAGGTTAACCGGCAGCTGAGGAGAAGTTATGATGTAATTTACATTTCAAAAACCAGAAGCCATTCATTTACAAATGTGATTGCACTTTAGTTTACATATTTAAATGTTCAGATATTAAGATTTGAATGAGGCAAAATAACAACATGCTTTTTCTCTCAAATATAATGTTATAATCATTTGTTTCAGATGTACTGTAATTATTTTCTGTATAAAAATTAATGTGGTGTTCAAAAAGTCTTTTTTCAAACTTGAGTCTTGAAAAAGAGGGGGTCGTCTTATAATCAGGGCTGTCTTATATTCGGGCCAATACGGTATGTATACATACTGTATGCACAGTCAAGTTCCCGTGTGGTCCTTCAGGGAAAGAATTGGGCTCTGGTGCTTTTGGCATGGTGGTGCAGGCCGCGGCGTACGGCATCAAGAAGGCTGGCGTGGCACAGCAGGTGGCCGTCAAAATGCTTAAAGGTCGGCGGTTGTTCGGCAATTGTGTCCCGAGTGAATTCGAGTGTGAAGAAACCGGTGAGACTTGACAAATGCGGTCGCTTGCAGAGAAACACCAGCAAGTGGATAAAGAGGCTCTGATGTCCGAACTCAAGATGCTGACGCACATCGGCCACCACGCTAACATCGTTAACCTGCTGGGAGCATGCACGGGGTCGGGTACGTTTACTTGAGACTGTCAATCTTTTATGATTTCAGTCACAATTTCCATTACAGTGGTACCTCTACTTACGAACATCTCTTTGTACGAAATTTTCAAGTTACGAAACGTCTCAACAGGAAAATACTGCCTCTTGTTACGAAAGAAATTTCAAGATACGAAAGATAAAAATAGAGTGTGGCCCCCTACTCGCAGCTGCGAGTTTCCTGAACGCAACATACTCATAGCTGCTCTGCCATTGGCTACTACCGTACCGGTATTGTCTTTTTAAAAAGTTTTTGGGGTCTTTTCGAAAATTTGGAATTTCCCCTTTCCACGTAGGCCCCATCTATCTGATATTCGAGTACTGTTGCTACGGCGACTTGCTGAACTATCTGAAGAGCAGCAGCGAGCGCTACCACAAGTCGGCAGTGGACGCTTTCACCCGGGATCGCAACAGGAGCCTCTATCACAACCTGATGCCAGGGAAAAACTCAACCACGTAGGGATGTTGTGAACATCTATCTGGAGTGGTTTGTGTGTGTGTGTTTGTTTTTTAAATCATCCAAGACCTTGTTGTGTGTTTTCAGGGTGCAGGAGGGCGCCGTGGACAACTACATGCGGATGCACCCTGCCCCGGCCGGCAGCCAGGAGGACGCATCCCTCCTCTGTTCCAGCTTGGACAACTTGGACTGTGGTGAAGGTCAGTGGATCGGGACTTTAGAAAATGCAGGTGACTCTTTATGGATGCCAAGACGACAGATTCATCTGCAGACACGGAGAGCTCTGAGAACGGAGAGCCGGATGACCTGCAGGCCCTGACTTTCGATGACCTGTTGAGCTTTGCTGTCCAAGTGGCCAAAGGCATGGACTTCCTCTCCTCCAAAAATGTACGTAACCTCCAGCACCTGTACATACATTAACCTTTATTGTTTATATGACACTGCCCCCTTGTGGCCAAGGCAAAAAAAATGGCAAAAACGGCTTCATTCTTTACCTTTGATTTAATTCTGCCATGACTGTTTTTTTTTTCTCAAAAGTACAATCTTCTCGAGTGCTATTTTACCTCAAGGCAACACTGTAACCATATGACGTGTCAACAGTGTATCCATCGTGACCTGGCAGCTCGTAACGTGCTGGTGACCAAAGGCCGACAGGTGAAAATCGCCGACTTCGGATTGGCGCGGGACATCGACAATGATTCCAACTACGTCGTGAGAGGCAACGTAAGTCGCATGAAAAACATTCTTTTTTTTTTTTTTTCTCTTTGTGACGCTTCTGTAAAATGACTTTTAATGCCCGCCAGGTGCGTTTGCCTGTCAAGTGGATGGCGCCGGAGAGCATCTTCCAGGGGCTGTACACCATGAAGAGTGACGTGTGGGCGTACGGCATCCTGCTGTGGGAAATATTCTCTCTGGGTGTCACCCCATACCCGGGCATAAAGGTGGACCACGGATTCTATTCCATGATTGAGAGGGGGTTCAAGATGGAATGTCCTTACTACGCTGACGAGTCCGTGTAGGTGTCATCGGCAGGTTGTAATCGAGACACAGAAAGACTGGAGGAATCACAGAAAGGCATACGTTTCCTTCTCCAGGTATCGGATGATGTGCAACTGCTGGGCCCTGGACCCCTGCAACCGACCCGCCTTCTCCAAATTGGTGGCCTTCATGTGGGAACAGCTGACGGTCGGCGAGGAGAAGGTACGTTTATCTCTAATCCGAAGGGAGGGAATTTTTACGCTCAAGGGCCGCATTCGATTTTTAATCTGGACTGTAGGGAAAAGAAATCTGAGATTCACGCACAGGAAGCCATGAGGACTGTGACAAAATTAAGAAAATAAGACAGTTGGGAGGAAATGATTACATGGAACAAGAATAAGAATTTAGATTGTAAATGTATGTCAGTGGTTCTGATTTATGTATGCCTTGTTGACACCGACTCGCTCCCACTTCTTCTTTCAGCTCTACCACAACACCATCAACCAGACATCGAGCGACAACAGCAACGCGTTCGCCATTATGGACGCTTCCCCCTTTGCCCCACAGGAGTAGGGCGAGACGCAGTAGGACGAAAACCAAACAAAACCGTCCGATGACCCCCCAAAATAATCATTTCAGTACATCCACATGTTTTACAGTTTAGCAAAAAACTAAAAGCAAAGCAAAGACCTTTGCCAAGGCTCCACATTGTAAATAGCTCCTGCATGAGCCTGAATGTTGTCATTTTTGTCATGAGAAAAATGGTGGAAAAGGTTCTCACGTGAATCTGCATCTTCATGTAAGCCATGATTGGATCACTTCCTCTTTGGTTTCTACTTGTTATATTTGCTTTGCGTATGCCGTTTAATGTTCATTCATTTTATAAGCTTGCATAAACTGGCCAGTGGGCATCATGAGTAGAAATGTCAAAGGAAAATGATTTGCTGAGTTTTTTTTCCCCAATGTATTTTTTTTTTAACATTATCCTTGATCATCATCATCATGCAAGTTAAAACAAACACACCTCATATTATTTTCTTAGATACATGCTGTATGTAAGATAAGATTACTCCATCTGGAACTACAGTCGCTGTGAAGAGTAAAAAAAAAAAAAGTAGGGGCAGATTTTGTTATTTTTGGGGAATCTTTTTCCGTTTTTAATGTTTGTGTCACCGTGTAAAATCCCCCCCCCCCCAGATGAGCAGAGCTTTCAATATTATAAGTTTGAATGTCATGTTTTTATGTATTTTTCCAAGCTGAAGCATTAAACCAGCAATAAAAATGCACTTACTCACAAAATGCCTCCGTAGTGCTATTAATAATTTGTTATATAGCCATATTTTTCCAAAAAATATTTCAATAATTTAATTAATGCTTAACAGTCAATATTTAGCCCTTGCAAAATAAATGAACTAGCTTTACCTGGCACTAAGTTTGTACATATAAAGCCATCCATCCAAGATCTGATCCATTTATCCATTTACTGTATTATTATCCAACATTTTGCCCTAAAAAAATAAATTCAAGAAAACACATCTTTTAAAAAACATACTTACCTGACATTCCATTTATAAATAACTCCCATGTAGCCCAATATTTTCCACATTTTATTGTCATGCATTGTTTTCTGTTCGAGTGTAGAAAAAACTAAATTAAAAAAAATAACTTGCCTGATCCGTTTTGTATCGCTAAATATTTCATTTATAGCAACTAATTTAGTCAAATATAAAACGGTCGTGATTCGACCTGAAAAAAAAAAACCAAAACAATGATTTAAAAAAAAAAAAACAAGACTTTGCCCAAACTGACCAATCAGCGATGAGGGGCCGCGACCATATGACGAGCAGCTTGGCCAATCACTGCGAAAAAAGGAAGTACAATGCCAGCCAATGACGGCGAGCTTCTTCTCGCTTGACGACTGCCATAGGATAGGACGACCACCATTATCCCGTGCAGTAGTTTTGTCGTTCAGATACGATCCTGACTCATTGTTGTTGTTTTTTTTGAATTGGACTTAGCCTTTTAACTACACTCAGTTATATCTTATTTTGTACGCGCAAACGAGACGGTTTGGAGCACAGAAGTACATACTGAGCCACCGCTTTTTGAGTATTAACACACGTCGACGTCGTCGCCATTTTGAATGTGGCGAAGTGGAGAGGATCGGCGATAAGATGCCTCATTCGTGTTCTTCCTTGACTTGTACCAACCGTTTCACAGTCGAAACCAGAGCTCGTGGGATTTCATTTCACAGGTAAAACTGAACTATGGCTTAAAAAGGATGCCTCAAGCCAGAATTTGCCGACTCCGCTCCTAAACCTATGCATGGTCCGAGACTTCCTGCGGGACCTTCAAACTCATAAATCTGTCCTATAAAACTAAAATGCGCCAAAAGGAAAAACTTTGCTATTAGTTGCTTGATCGGTCCACGCACATTTCAAATGTGAAAATCGCCACGTGTGCGTTTCCTGTTTTTATAAACACCTCGTTATATTTGTGGTAGTACCAAGACTGACCTGTCGGCGGCAGCACAGGGAGCATACAATTGACGAAATAGAAAGAAGAAGAAAATTTTGATAATTGTTACAGTTGGCTTGGCTCAACTTGGTGTTGACCACACATATATTAAATTGAATAGTTGAACACTGTTGGCCTTGACTGCAAAAATCAGTCTACACGACCCAAAAAAACACGATTTCAAAATGTCTTCCACTTTTGAATAAAAGTAAAAGAAATTGATGATGAATAAAAGTTTTTCTTGTATATTTTTTCCAATTCTGGGTTTTCCTTTCGCCGGATGACACATAAGCTTTGAAAAACTCTCCATTAATGTTCTTAATTAATTGGCTTCCTGCTAACTATTCTCTCACGCATCTACTGGGTAGGTTTCCCAAAGACAGAGTGCTGAGAAAAAAATGGGAAAAAGCTGTCAGAAGAGGAGGATTTGCTTCCAATTCGTCAACCATGCTCTGCAGTGAGCACTTCAGACCGGAAGACTTTGACAGAACAGGTCAGACAGTCAGGCTCAGAGAAGGAACTGTTCCTGTCTGCTGTTTCAAACCTCCTGATAATAAGGTAGTCATATCACTGGGCTTAAAGGATTACAACATTCAATGCAACATGACGCTGAATTTTTTTCCCCCCCGCTTTTGCTGAATACGAAGGCTCCCAGGATGTCTCAGACCTCACAGAAGGCACGGGAGCCCCTCCCAACAGATACTTCCAAGCTTGTCAAAGAGACCACCACCCAGCCTGAGCCCAAATCCGTACCTGTGCCCGCTGTTGTGAGTAATAAGTGCAAGCCCCGGCGCTGAATCGACCAATCAAATAATAGGGTTGCAAAAAAAGGTTGAAAGAAACCCTCTGCCTTGACACTTCACACCCACTCCTCTGTGTGGAAATAAGTTGCCGTTGGTGTCCACAAAATGGAATTGTCTGACACATGTCGGCCATTGCCAACACAAGTGAGCTAATACAGCCACAGCTAGCTAAAATTTAGATAAACGCGGCTACAAGTGTACTTTCAATCACCTGATTTGAGAAAGCAAATGCATAAAATGTAAAGCGGGCCTGTTTTTTAAATTTTTTTTTGGTGACTGTTTTACATTTCTTTGTCCTTTAGTATTTGTTTAGCTTGACAACAGAGAAGAAGAGAACTGACTGCCGTTAACCGTTTGCCAGTTAACAGCCTGCTGCTGACCCAAGCTTACAGTCGCTAACTGCACAAAGGTTCTGCACGCGCAGCCTTGAATTCACTCGGCGTTATGTTTGATTTGACAGCATACTTTAATTGGGAGTGACCATGCACAACTTGTCGGCTCGGAGCTCCCAAAACCTGTTAGTCGAATTACGGCTGTTTATGCATAAGTGCAGCTTGTTTACCGGGGCGATCTCTTAAGTCCGCATTTGACCAGAGGTTATTCGCGTTCATTTTTCATATGACGTCTCATCGTTTTTGCGAGGCCCCCCGTATTCTCATTTTTCTTATTTTGACTTAGGACCACGCTTACGCTTCAACACCGGAAGAGCTGAGGGTCAAACTCAGTGAAGCCCTAGCGAGGGTGGAGAGTCTGGAAAGAGACAAGAGGAACGCCAAGGACAGGGAGAGGAGGGCAAGGAACACCGTGAGTTGTCTTCTGGAGGATCTCGAGGTGAAGAAAATCCTGAATGATGAATTGAAGGAGCGGCTCGACATATACTCAGGTGAAGTGAAAATGACACCTTCTTATTTTGCCTTCAAATGTGAACCGAGAAGAAATTCCTCCAAAACAAAACGGGTCACATTAACACCGTAATTCAGTTATGGCAGCCGTTCTTTTTGCCCACATGACGTGCGCATTCAAACAAAGCATTTCGGTCACGTGGGCCAGTGCCAATCATCAGGTTTTGTGATTAAAAAAAAAAAAAAAAAACAACAACAAAAACACATATCCATTTAAAAGCTCACTTACTTGGCTCGACTTGCATCCATCATGATTTGACCTGTAAACAAAACAAAATGTCTGCATGAACACTTTGACGGAAATGAAAAGAGGGACTCCACCAATACAAACTTGACCTTGAGTGTCACAACATTACTTTTTCCCTCCTTCAAGACTCCCTCATCATTTCACCGGTACTCAGTAATTTGCCTTTGCCAACTGAATTCCAGATCTTCCAGTTCACCTCCTCTCCAAACACAGCCACAAATATACCAAAGAGCAGAGGGAGTTTGCCGCGACTCTCCACTTTCACGGACCGAAGGCATACGACTACCTGCGAGAGTCTCTGCATATTAATCTGCCGCATCCACATACCTTGCAAAAGTACTGTTCTTATTCTTTGGAGAATTTTTTTTTTTTTGTGATCTGTCATTTTTATGGATGGATGGATGAATAACAAACAAATAAAGTGGAGCGTCTGCTTTTTTTTTTCTGAGATGGGTGAGCTCTGGGGAGACGAAGCTTGACCTCAACACGACGATGCTGGACACACCAAGACAAGAGGACGACACAGCTCAATATTTAGGTAGCGTGTTTGTGTCATTTTGGACGCCAAGGGTTGGTCATGCGTGTCCAGGAGGACGTTGGACTTTTGATGAATGATTGTCTTAAGACTTTTCAGGTTGCAGAGCAGCCGTTCGGGTGAACATGGAACTCTCCCGAGTCAACGAGCTTCCCTACGAGGAGTTTGTGAAGATTTTCGGCAACGTGGTGGAGAGGTGTCCTATCGTGGCGGCGGCCGTTTGCTCTCAGCGTCCCTTCGCCGACATCGACGCTTTGGAAGCGGCCATCTGCGACTTCATCGACGCTCTGTCCGAATCGGGTGAGTCAATGATTATCTGACAATGTGACTGCAATAGGAAATATGGTCGCACTCAGCATTCCAGATGCCATTTTGGTCAAGAAAAAGCAGTTTGGGGGGTTTTACCAAGAACGGTGGCGTTTTGGTACCGTTTATGTTTTACACAATATCAATGAGGGATATGGTGGTCTTGAAGAGAAACCAAAAAAAAAAAAGATTTTTGGTCCCTAATGGGATCAAGGTCTTCTGAGACTTAACATTGTGTGTATGACAAGTCTTAACTTATCATGTCTAGGCAAAGAGGGGATCCTCAGGTGCCACCCGGAACTTGCTGGCCAGGACCTCCAGGCCCACACCTTGACCCACGAGTCCAAGAGCGAGCAGTCGAGCGTGGGCTTGGACTCACTGGGCGCAGAGGAAGCCGACACCTTGTCCTGCTTGAACGAAGAGTACAAGGAGCGCTTCGGCTTCCCGTTTGTTATCTGTACCCGCTTGAGCGAGAAGGCCAGTATTTTCCAGGAGATACGCAACCGCATCGCAAATGGGTGCACGGAGGAGAGAGAGCGTGCCATTGAGGAGGTCAAGAAAATATGTCGTCTACGTCTTCGGGACCTCGTGCACAGTGACGCCGCAGCTCAATTTTAAATTGCATGTATTTACGTAGCCTAAACTGGTGGTTATAATTGGGCTTTCAGATGACATTTGAGCGAGTTGTGCAAAAGGTATATGTGCATTCTAAAGTCTGGAGAGTGTCAAATTATTTTTTTCCGTTAATGTTCTCGTGCATTTTAGGTTCATTCTGAAATTTTACCCAATACTGTATTCATTATTTTTTGAGAGGCAACATTGACATCCTAATTAACATATTGTTCACATTGACATGAAAAAAACATGGAATCTATGTCATACTGAGGCCAAATAAATCTGAACTGACCTGCGGTGTTAACATAGCCCAAGTGTGTATTTGGTTAAAAGTAAAGTTTTCCATGGTTTCTTTGTTTGTTTGATGAGTAGTCAGATACTCCAAAGTTCCAACTATTTGTACACAAACATTAAAAAGTAATTTTTCCATCATGTCTCCTTGAAAGATTGTCTGAGAAGGGAAGTTGACAAGCTGATTATAACATGGATGAAATATCAGGAAGATATTTGTAAATACATTAATTGATAAAAAAAACAATTGATGGTGTCACACACCTACCTTTTGAAACTTTTGGGTTAAGATCAAATGAGTCAACTGAGGTAAAAAAAAATGCTAATTTGGTCGATGATTGATGATCACCTGTAGAATGGGTCCTTGAGTCAAGGAGACATCCGCCTTGTAATGTGCGGTCCTTGTCAGTGCCTGATTAAAAACACGCACTCCTGTGTGATAAAAAAGCAACGCTTTAAACTACATAATACCTATACTTATACCTGCGCTTTTTTTTTTGTTTGTTTTTTTTCTCCCTTCTCTAGAATTTTTTTGCGTATATCTCCCATCTTTGGTGTATGAGAATGGAACACAGGAATACTGGCATAAAGGAGCCCAGTACGTCAACAGTCAGGGCGTTCACTCAAATCGAGAGACAAAAAAAAAAAAATACATTAATAAAATGTGTTCTTTAATGGAGACCATAACGTAAAATTTCTAACATGATTTGTATTTTTGTACTTGTATTTACAAAAAAATTTTAAAAATCACATACGCTCGAAAGATGGTCTATAGATGTCTCCACCAGGAGGCGGGAGAACATCGTCCTCCTCTCTTCATGAAATGTATTCGGACACAGTGCTTTAATATTAAAACAAGGCTTAGTTTATACATATAAACATATTTTTTCGAGCCACCTTTAGTTCACTAGTGGTTTTCCAATTTGCAGGTGTGGTGGGGGACAGGCACTTAAATGAAGAGCCATCTTAGATAGGAACTATACTTCATATATGATGAGGGCAAAATAAATGTTAAGTGTATGCTTAGTTGCTCCAAATATGTGTGGGATGACCAACACAACAAACCGCATACATAATGTCTGTTGTAATACAATGAAGTGAAGTTCAGCATAAATTCATGATGCACAAGCTGCTTCAATTCTTCACGTTGTATTTAATTATTTGATTACACTCTGTTTTCAGAAACTACGGTATTATAGAGTGCTATTTTTCAAGGCACAACTGCACTGATAGTGCGGAAAGTTTGAGAAGGAGCTGAGCTAACTGTTTGGATATTTGGTTACCATATCATGGTAATGAAGGCTTCACATCACAATCATTGAAACTGGTTGGCGCAGAAAGGATTTGCGATTGTAAATATTCAAGAGTTTAAGATTCACGATTGTACACCCTGACAGAGCAAATTGGAGAGGGAAAAAAAGTCACCTCTGACAGGCCCCACGCCGCAGAATAAATGCTCAAGATAATTGTTCATAAACATCTAAAAATTGAGCAAAGCAGGGAAAATCATCGGATTTTCCCTGATTATCGTTGTGTGTGTACCCCTTCCTACTTCCCTCCATGACGATTTTTCTTATAAGGCGTCAAAAAAGTGTATTCTTTTGATCCAGGTGGCGGCGCTCTGGGGAGAGTGGCGGCGAGACCCCCGCCACCGGCGCCACCTCACCCTGGTCCCCAGAGGTGACGGCCGAGTCCTGGTCGGGCTCGCCCCTCCTGGCCCGCCGCCGGTCCTCCTCCTTCTTCCACTTCATGCGGCGGTTCTGGAACCAGATCTTGATGTGGCGTTCCGTCAGGCTGAGGGTAAGCGCCAGTTCCACACGGCGCGGCCTGGAAATGTAGCGGTTGAACAGAAATTCCTTTTCCAGCTCCAGAAGCTGAGCTCGTGTGTAGGCCGTGCGGGTGCGCTTGCTCTCCTCGGCCTCTGCCATCATGTACGGACCTGGACAAACACAGGCGGTTCAGTTTGGAACCAATAATTTGTTAGTAAAATGATAAAGACAGACAAAAATATAAGAAAATAAAATGGAGGTAGGGGGAGATATTGTCTAGCTACATATGTTGCTGCACTATTTGTGTTTCATTCGCTTTTAAAAGTTAGAAAGTAAATTTAAACTAGGTTTGCCAATAAAGTTCACCCCCACTATTTGTGAGGATTAGAGACTGGGCCAGCCTGGGAACAGCAAAATACTGCATGTAATTGACGCCATTTTTTACCCTCCATGTTCAAAAAACGTTGATTAACATTGAATATATTTTTTCTGTGAAATGAGGGGCTGGGGGGGGGGGGGACGAAGGACCCCCACCCACCCTCAAAATCTAAAAAGATGTATTGGAAAAACAATCTGCAAATATGTAAACCCGCGTTGGGTGTCGACAGTAAATAGCTTGACGCTTTTTTTTTTAAACAAATTGTATACTATCTGTCAAACGAGTCTTTCTCTTACCAAACAATCAGAGAAGACAAATGTGTTGAGGTTATTGTGGTCGGAATGACGAATTTGAAACGTGATTAGTGAAAGAAAATTCAAAATAAATCTGATTGATTAAAGATATCAACCCTTTTGCTAATATCATTTAAGTTATTTCGGCCAGCTAGCATCATTTCGGAAGCGGTCCACCCAAGATAAACGATATTCTCAAAACATAATTCATATTTGACATACAATGAGGTATATCTAGAAGAACGCAGAATACAACATAACTCAATAATGAAGCTTTTAACTTGACAAGCGGCGACATTTTGGGTGCTCACCGACAGTTTCGTAAACTTCTGCTTTCGATTGGTCAAGTGTACCTAATGTTAAGACCGCTAAATACACGACAAAGTGTCCAAAACACAAACACTGTTAATAGTTGCTAGAGGAAGCATATTTTTTAAAATTGAAATTCTCATTTTATTTTATGGGGATAATGTTTGGCAAAAAAAGTAATAAAATAATTATTTATAGAATACAGTATAAACAAAATGTAATAAATGATCCCGATTTTCCAGTGCAGCTAATAATGCTGCACAGTAAAGGAGTCAACATTTTAAAGTTCTGATTCTATTTTATGAAGCCATTTTTTTTAAATACAGTTGTAATAAAAGTATTAATCTTTTAAAGTCTTAATACAAAAAAGTACATGTACATTTTCTATCTACACGCAAGTTTGATCGAAAAATAAGCAGTTAAAATATCATTGTAATTCAGATTTTCTGCCACTTTTTTAAAAATCATTAAAATAAAACAACTGACAAAACCTTTTTTTCTAGTCGACACAATGTACAGTAAGATATATTCAAATTCGTTTAAATCAATCGTCAACGTTAATGCCAAAATTGAAAACGAAGGTAATGGGAAATTCATTTCATTATAATTCACTTTTTTGTGTCAAATTTTGTTCTCTTTATAGTTAAGGAATGACACATCAGAAAGCTGTAATTAAAAACATCACAATTTAAAAGGTTCACTATGTTTAAGAAAAGTCTTGCGCAGACGAGAGTGTGTGAATTATAACGCATATGTCAATTTAAAATTGCTAGTTCATCGAGTCAAACTTTTTCAATTGAACATATTTATAAATGATTAACTTTTTTGTCGAGATATGAAACAATAAAAACCAAAAGAGACCTTCCCGGTTTTCATAAATGGCCCGACAAGGTTAACCGACAATAAAAATGATTCCCTGTGAGTCACTAATAATCATCATCATCATTATCAGGATCGTGTTTAATACGCGTTACCTGTCCACTGTGCTTTCCACGCGTGGGAGTGTGCCTTGTTGCTTTTCATCCAGGGGAAAGGAAGGTGAAACCGGCTGTGCTCGTCCGTGTCGCCGAAGGCCGCAGCGGGCGTAAGCGGCGGCGGGTGTTGCGGCGCCTGGCCCGCCTGCTGCTGCTGCTGGTGGTGGTGCAACAGCGGGATCCCGAGGTCCTCACGCAGCGGGAGCCCGTAGGCGGGCTCCACCAGGCCGTCTGCCGGCTCCAGGGTGGCTCCCGCCATGTACCCGGCCTGCACCTGCCGGCTCATGTAGAGGCAGGGCGGCGGGTTGTGGGCGAAGTCGTCCGGGTTCGCCGCCCTCTGGTACGCGCAGGAGTCCTTGAACGCGAGTTGCTGGTACGCGTGACTGTCGCGATGCATGGCTGCCGCTCGGCTGCAGGGCCCTCGCCCCTGGCGTGGACCTTCTCCTCTGGTGGCTGCGCCCACTCGGCGTGTGCAGGTGTGCCCGCGCCAAGATCACGTGAGCCGGATGCCAGGCCGTCCATTGGATGAGTGGAGCCATCGCTAAATTGAACTAAGTAAACACAACCCACGTGTTGACTTACTGGATTTATGTCGTGGAACCTTCGGCAACCGCAGATTCTCGTATTCGCTGATCTGCTTTAATTTAATATTTTTTTTCGAGTCAACACCTGTTTTTCGTAGAAAATACTTAATTTTTATCTTTTTATTGCATAACTTTGGGTGAGGGGGGTAACTTTTTCTCCCCAAATGCATTTCAATGGGTGTCAATTGTACACAGATTATTGTTATTTACGGGCGGCCAGTCCACTGTAAATAGTTGACTGTCTCAGATGATCCAAATCAAAGTTCTTCGATCACAAAAAGTTGGTCACTTCCAGTTCTGGTTGGGATGGAAACGTATGCAAGGCAGTTGCACACTTGCAATGTCAACAACTTCAACAACAATAATAATAATAATAATGATGATGACGACGATGATGATAATAAAGGTAACAATTCTAAACAATCCAAAATCTTTGTTGACAAAAAGTAGAAGTCAAGAAATCTAACTGTGTGAATGAAAGCAAAAAAAAAAAAAAAAACAGGAAAGATGAAACTTGTGGTTGGGAGATCAAAATGATGGGAATAGAAACAAAACACAAGAAGTTGACACCTGATAAAATAAAACCGGTAACAGTGCGAAACCATCTAAATCTCACATTTGTTGATGGTCAATTCTGGCTAAGAAATCAAACCAACCGTACTGGGAACAAAAGACCGCAAGTTGCAACATCAATTCAGCAACAAAGCCAGCCAGACAGTTAAAATCGCAGTCCTTTGTTCCTCCAAAAAGTTGAAACAGAGCCATTTTTCCAAGACATTTTGGTCAATTTGCCAACGTTAGGACAAAGTGGCGCATCAGACTTACGCGGTGTAGCCGTGACACCGATGTGAACGGCTCATTTAACAGCACTTAGCAGTTCCGAGGCGGCGGTGCGCTTGTGTCGTGTTTACTGGCCATTAGTCTTGCTTTCTGTACACTACGTGTTAGGCCCCATTAAGCAAGGCCTCTCCTGGTTAGTCGATTAAGCTAGAACTCAATTACCGACTGCGCGTATGTCAACTCCAACCATTTTCACGCTTGGGAAAACGGCAGGTCCTAGAGCATTCTCATCTCTAAATTAGAGCGGCTACCACCTTTAGAAATGTTGAAATCACAATTTACTTCTACACCATCTCATTTGGTTACCACCACTCGTCTCTTGTCCTGCCTCAAGTTTGGCCTGTTTTACTGCCGCTTCTCATCATAATCAAGACTCACTGTTCTGTGTGAAAAACAATGTAAAACTGGGACCAGTTTGTAAAGTTTAAGTCTAGTTGTAGAGTTGAAGACAATTCACACTGCGTACCAAAGAGCTCTCACTGATCTGCATGAGAGGTTCAACTGCGAGGAGGGTGCCCAAAATCAGCTCGTATTTTTGTACCCTCTCCATACCGACTGCACAGAGGAGTTTAACATCGGCAATAAAGTGCTCAGTATCTTAATGGGGGCTCTCACACACGCAATAAAAGGGCAAGTGACGCGACTGGATGCCGATCAGCGACGCGCTCAAAGGTGTTTATATTTGAACATCCTTTTGAAGAGGAAGGAAACCGTTCAAAGAGATGATATCTTCCGCGTGGATAACGTGATTTACGAAGCGGATGGCTTAAGTGATGCCGTGCCGATTGACATTATGGGTAAAAACTGTGTGAAATAGTCACATTTTTGTTACGACATCACACAATAAAAAGTGTAAGCAAGTCCGATGGGGGAGGGGGGTAATATTTTTAACAATCTGTCTTGATTTAAATGGGACACCAAAAGACTGCATTTTTGAAAAAAAAAAAAAAAAAAAGGAATTACACCAAAATAAACACAAAATGGCAGCCGGTGTCGATGTCCTCAATACAAGATGGCTCCACTGTTGTTTCACATCAAAGCTACTTCATGAGTAGTTTCTCATTTGAATGAGACAAGAACCTAAAAAGTACAAGCACTGTGGAAAATGTATAATTGTTCCAACTGACTAGCAGTCAGTCCAGGGTGTACCCTGCCTCTCGACCCAAGTCAGCTGTGACAGACCCCAGCTTACCCTAATGAGGACAAGCACTATCAGAAAGAAATCTGAGCACCTACTTCTGTAGAAATGTTAAAATCTTAATTTAAAACATATTTCTAGACTAGCATTTGATGACCACGCCTATTCTGCAACTCGACTCTTACACTCCCTCACCGCCTGACATTCTAGATTTTGGCCTCTTTTACTGCCAGTTTTCCTCTTCCCTCGCCACCATGTTCGCCAACGTCAGCGGTGACAGGCTCCAGCTCAGTTAGCCAGATGAGGACATACAAAATGGATGGATGAATGAAAAAACCTAGGTCCATCAATTTGCTGACCCCGTCCTCGGTTTTGTCGTCCGTCTATCTTTTTCCGCCGTCCGTCTATCTGCCGTCTTGTCCCTCTCGCCTTTGTGTCCATGACTCATCTCCCGCTCCCTGTCCCTGTCCATCCTCTTGGGGTCACCGCTGGAGATGTTCCCACGATGACGCTTGCGCGAGTGTCCGCTGTCTCGTCTGACGGGGGGCGACCGGCTGCGGCTCCTCCTACAGGAGGACTCCCAAGTCGTGGAATGCGATGAGTGTCCCTCTTTGGACTCGCCGGGCTCCCGCTGCAGGCCGGTGGAGCGCAGGGTGTTGAGGAGGAACCGCTTGTTGGTGCCCCGCAATGGACATTTCAACCTGTTGAGAAATCAGCACAAACAGGTTCAAAATTTCAGATGCTATAAAAATGGGGAAAATGTGTTGCACCACAATGAAATGTAATCACTGATATTTGGCTTTTTCCAAGGTCACTGTGTTGCTGTTTTGGTTTAATTCACCGTGTCATGTCCACATGTCAACACTAGTCAATGAGGGATCATTCGTTACCGTACAAACAAAGAAGACATTGACGTCATCACTGGCGGACTCACCATCCCGCAGGGCCCATCGTCTCGGCTCTTACCCGAGCCCTGTCAGTCTCCCTCAGGAGCTCCTCCACAGCACGTCTGCAAAAACACGCAAATGAGTCATATCGGACGAAAATTCCTGGGGGTAAAAATGGGCACGAAAACAAAAAGAACGAGCCTAATGAGCGTACGTAAAGTACGCACCGAGTAAGCAGACAGGCAGCGTCCCAATATAACCCAACTGGGGAATGGGTGTTTGTATCGGCTAACAGCTAATTACTACGTGAACATTAAATAATACAGTAGCAACATGTACGTACTTTTCCAACTCGCTCTCCTCATCTGTCATAACTACAAGTCCGCTGCAAGTAAGGTGATAAACACTTTTAAATAGACTTTTTTTTAAAGTAACGAACTGACTGCTTATTTACAGCGCCGGGGTCCAACGGTTAAGGACCCACAGGTGCCCCAATTGATGCCTGATCGAAAACTCTAATCCTATTTAGACAAAGTGAACAATGGACTTCAGCACTAATGTAAATATTCACTTTTCCGGACAATTTCTGTGATCATTTTGATAACTTGCAACAACGAAAAAAAGCCGCTCCACACAGAAAATACTTCCCCCGTGAGCTGACTAACAACACTTATAAAAAAGCTAAATTAACTGACAATATATACATGTGTTTATATTGGGGTATTCTATAAACGTCAGAAGCTGATGTTTTTTTAGGCTAGCACAAGACAAATCATTCTTGGTAACAGGCTTATTTTGGCAAAGACATAGACATCGGTTTTAAAAAATAGGGTGTTAAAAAAAAGTATAACAAATGAATTGACACTATTTTTTGTCGTTTTTTAGTGACTCGATCAACTTATTTTTATGTAATTCTTTTTTTTTTCATTATGACGCTTCACAAAAATAATAAGGAACACTCGAGTGTTTATACTATTTGGAGAATATTTACTTGGTAATTCCACGATTTAGTGAATCCACACAGGCATCGTTTCTGAAGCCAGTCCCGAAGCGGATGCGCGCACCGCCTCTTCCCGATGATTGACAGTGGTGGGCGTTTTCGTGCGGGTTCGCAGGGACGCCACCACTTTGCGGTGAGTGCGTGGATTCGAGGTGCGAGACACTAACCATCACTCCCCCTTCACCACCACCTCTTTCCAGACACAGGGGGCCGGGAGGCAGGGCGCGCAGGAGCATCCGGATTAGGTAAAATGACATCTGCATGCATGTCTACAATGTCACTGTGTATGTGTGTGTGTGTGTGCGCGCGCGTGTGTGTGTGTGTGTGTGTGTGTGTGTGTGAGAGCGTGGGGGGGGGGTCGTCTTTGCACTGCTATTGAGGGCTTGTTGATAGAGTCAGACAGATGCTCACGTTTACATCATGACACTGCGGTGTCGTTGCCAGCCTGCAGGATGAACGATGGAGGACAATGACAAAATGAATGTAAAAAAAAAAAAAAAAATATATATATATATGTATATAAACAAATCAAGTGGTTTTGCAGGCCTGCTCTTGGAAAGAAAACATCAACAGCCTCTGGATTAAAAAAAAAAAAGGACCACAAAGACTGCTTTATATTAAAAAAAATAAAATAAAATAAAAAAAATAAAAAAGGCTGAGTTGACAAATAGCAAAACAGCTTTATGGATTGTGCCGGGAGATTCGATACGATAGGTGAAGGGTCGACAGTTTACTGAGGAAGGAAGGCGATGACAACACCAACCTTGGGATCAAATAAGACATTTTTAAATGGGTGGTAAGCGACTCTTGCACGCTGGTGTCTACAAGTGTGACGCGGTGATGTCACAGCTTTGTTTTAAATGGAAACACAAGGAGCCCTTGTATCCTCATGCTTAATTCATGTCCAGCTGCGGGGATGGAGACAAGCAGCCAGTCACATCCAAGGAGAGGAGGGAGAAAGAGTAAGAGAGCATCCTCTAAAAAGAAGGGAGGCTGGAATAATTAACAGCCGGACCATGATAGCTAAGGAGACGGCGGAGACAGGTTGTTACAGGGATCGTAACCAAGGAGACGGGCCAA